TCGCGCAGCTTTGCCACACATATTTTAATGGGTGGATAACTATAATAAAACAGGTATGCCTAGGGCCAAAAGGCTCTGCTTCAGTATGGTTTGTGTCAAGCCATTCATTAATCTGGCTGTTTGATGAAGAGATAAAATGTAGTAGAAATAAACATGTTAAGAATCAATAGAAGCGGAGGACTATTATTAAGGTTTTTTTAGGACTATTATTATGTTGTAATGTTTGGTTGACCAATTAGCAGAGAGGGGCGTTTCATTCCCGCCCACATGTAGAGATCGAATATTCAAGTTGTTTATTCGTTTTCTATCCCTGAATGTAAAAACGAAAAATTAAGCCGGATTCTTGATTTTTCGTTTTGTTTGAATAATTGAAAAACGAAATATGTGCCGTTTCTCATTTTTCAGATTTCAATATTAAAACAAAAATTGATTGGACGGAAGATACCCTGATTATATTACATATATTTTATATGAATTTATACACACACACAAATATATATATATATATATATATATATATATATATATATATATAAGGGTGGGACTACCTGTTTGACTGCCTAGTGGCAGACGAAGGAATATTTAAAAATGTGCATAATTTCCACAGGTTAAACAGACATGAAAGTCCAAATGCTTTCTTTCCACAATATGTCATTATTTCAAAAAATAAAACCTGACTGGACCATAAAAAGTGGTCCCTATATGGCAGGTAGTTGTAGAGAACTAGTTGAAAAATCAGTAATGACAGCTGAAATAGAAAGGCATAACATTTTGATAAAGATTGCAAAAAAAATAATAATTTTATTTCTTCAGAAAATGAACCTATGAGTCGTAAATAAGACCAGTACTGCGTATTAAAGTAAATAGAGCCTGTTTTGTTTTCGTGTTCACTTTAAACATTGTTTTAATGCACTTTTCCCGCCACGCTAAGACTTTAACAACTTTTCCTTCTAAATCCGGGATTCAGGCTTAACTATTTTACGTCCTTTGTAATGCACTCCTTGACTCTTTTTTTCCCCAGTCAGCTATTGTTACATGTGGATACTTCACACCGCATTTGAATTGAGCAAAAAGGGCCAGAAAATTAACATTTAATACGCGTAACAGGGAGAGAAAGGAGGAGTCTATTGTTGTGTGTGAGGTGTTGGGGCTTTGTATTTTGGGCAGTGATTCCAGGCCACAAAACTGTGAGAAGATGAGCCATTTTTTCAGGAGGAAGGTGGGGGCGAGACAGGACAGGCCGGTGACAATGGGGTAACGGAGGGGAGGTATACGCTCCTTTGAGGAACCCTGAAAGCAACTGCCTCTCTCATGCTGTGTGGCCAATACCTTTCTTCTCCTTGCCTCTTCTTCTTCCCAGGGCCGGTTTTCCTGCCCCTCGCTCCTCCACTTCTTCGTGTTTGTCTCAGATTTCCCCCGGAAAGGGCAACACGGTGGTCACGGTGTAAAAAATCCAGCCTTCCTGACCGACAGCCTGGGAAAGTGGTGCAAAGGGCTTTTCTCTGTCCACTCTCAGCTCAACCCCACCCCCCTCGTCCCATCAGGCTGCACGGAGATCATCGGATTTGTCCGCAACGCTTCCTGCACGAGCTTACCGGGCTGTCTTAAAACATTATTTAGGATAGTCTTTTCCCATAAGTGAACTTTCCGTGATTGGTGTGTCGACATGTTAGCGTGATGACACACAAACACATTAAATTCTCTGGTCTTTGTCTCAACTCCACCCTAACCTCATTCTTCTCCAGGCATTAACATACACACACGCATGGGAGGAAAGTGGGGTGGAAGGACATTAAGGAATGTAGACTATGCAGCTAGTCAATGGGAAGTTCAAAAAGTGAGAATGTTGTTGAAGGAGACAGGTATGTACTTACAGAAGTCCATATCATATATTGCTTCCACACCGAGAAACAAGCTGAAACTACACTACAACTCTTTAATCAAGTAGATTACTACATTTTTTGAATGTGCAAAACTCGCCGCAATGATGATGAAGTTGGCTTGACTTTCACAGTATTCGCTAAGCCACTGCTGAGGTCATTGCTATTGTGTTCAGCAGTAATAATAATAATAATAATAATTAATTACATTTATATAGCATTTATATACACTCAAAGCACTTTACATTGTCAGGGGGTATCTCCTCATCCACCACCAGTGAGCAGCATCCACCTGGACGATGTGACGGCAGCCATAGTGCGCCAGAACGCCCACCACACACCAGCTTATTGGTGGAGAGGAGACAGAGTGATGAAGCCAATCAGCAGATATGGGGATTGTCAGGAGGCCATGATGATCAGAGGCCAATGGGCAAATTTGGCCAGGATACCGTGGTCACACCTCTACTCTTTTCGAAAGACATACTGGGATTTTTAATGACCACAGAGAGTCAGGACCTCGGTTTAATGTCTCATCCGAAGGATGGTGCTTGTTGACAGTATAGTGTCCCCATCACTACACTGGGGTGCTAGGACCCACACAGACCACAGGGTGAGCACCCCCTGCTGGCCTCACTAACACCTCTTCCAGCAGCAACCTAGTTTTCCCAGGAGGTCTCCCATCCAGGTACTGACCAGGCTCAACCCTGCTTAGCTTCAGTGGGGAACCAGTCTTGGGCTACAGGGTGATATGGCTGCCGATCACTTTATGCATCAGGAATTGATCGGATAGGAAAATGTAGTCTTGATTCGATGAGTGGTTAAAAAATAAGTGGGCTTGGTGATGCCAGCCAAAGAGGACAGTTGCTTCAGAGGTGGAGCAAATCGTCATTTTAATGAAAGCTTTTATTATGATTTATTTTTTTTATGTGCACCAATAAAGTGATGAACAGATATTCAATTTATGTCTGATAATGGAAAGTCAATAAATATGTTCCTGTTATGATTGACAATTGATAAATGGACAATTTAAAAATTCTATTATTTTGCTTAAATTACAGAACACCAAAAATGCAATAAATAAATAAATTAAATTAATCAATAATAATAATACAATTTTAAATGCAACAAGTGGACTTGTTAAGAACCACAAAATTATAATTTATAGTAAATGTACACAATTCAATTTAAAAGTTTGGGGCTGGTAAGATTTTTTTTAATGTTTCTGAAAGAAGTCTCTTATGCTCACCACAGTTATACTGATTTGATCAAAAATATGGTAAAAATAGCAATACTGTGAAATACTATTACAAATTAAAGTACCTTTTCTATTGTAATAACTTGTAAAATGTAATTTATTCCTGTGATCAAAGCTGAATGTTTAGCATCATTACTCCAGTCTTCAGTGTCACATGATCCTTCAGAAATCATTCTAATATGCTGAACAAGAAACATTTATGATTATAAATTTTGAAAACAGATGTGCTACTGAATATTTTTTGGAAACTTAATATTTTATGATACTTACTATTTTTATATTCCTTGAAAAGAAAGTTCAAAAGAACAGCATTTATTTAAAATAGAAATATTAAAAATGTCTTTACTGTCTCTTTTGATAAATGTTATTGCATCCTTACAGAATAACAACTTCACAAAAAAAAAACCTTACTGACCCAACCCTCTGAATGTTAGTTTATATGGATGTATAGTTTGATAAATGAAAATAAATAAATAAATACTTGAAAAATGGCCACTAACCAGTACATGGTACCAATATGTGTGTATCCCATTTTAAATTTCACATTCACTCAAATACTTATGGTAAGAAGTTCTAATATTGATTGCTAGGAATGAGTCAGTAATAATCATGCTTGCATTAGCACACAATGTTTACTAAAAGAGTATCCAAGGATCGAACGATGTTTGAAATGTACCTTTTGATTGTCCTTCCAGGCTCATTGTTGTACACCTGGTGGCGCTGTCTAAACTCGACACTTTCACACCCTGCACGAAAGAACCGAAGCATTGTTATGATTGTAAAATGCATGTAAAATCTGATTCCCAAACACAGATCTGCTTAACAGGCTTCAACGTGCTTAGGAGACTCTAACACGTCTAATATTGCATAATTCTTCAGCCTGGTGGATTTTAATAACAATTATCACCGGTTTGTAACTGAAAAGAACTCTTCCCATGACTTCAGAATGCCTAGCTCTGTCTCTCAGGCTGAGAAGTTACAGCAGGACTTGCTAGATGACCTCAAACAAATGAGTGTAAAATGAAAATGATTTTTTTTCCATGTAACGATCCCAAAAAATGTGCAGTTTGGCAGCTGCTCTTAATGTTGCTCGACATGCGAGTCGTTTCAGTGAGTTCTCACACATTCTCAGGCAGTTTTTCCCAAGTCAGCAACAGTTTACTCACAAAAAAAGTGTTATATGTCATTCCCCATTGTATTCGCAATGCTTCAGGGGTAAGATTTACCTTCAGATTATGAGAGGAAACATATAACAAAGGTTTTTTTCCCCCTAGTTTGTCGACTGAACAGTTGAAGTGATTCGTGTTGAACAACATATGAACAAGTGCCTCAGGTGTAAGTACCCACATGTACACGTCTGAGTCTCTCTCACACACAAACACGTCTCCCTCCCTGTGGGAACAGCAGCCCTAGGAAGGGCAGTCTGCCAGCTGGCTAGGCGACATGCTTTTGAGGCTGAGGATGTTTGGTTTTTTTGGTCAGGAGCCTGGACTGTTTCTCTCAGCAGTCTCAGGGGAAGGTCCTGGCACTGAGCTCCAAAGCTCTGGCTCCTGAAGCTCACTCACATCTCCTCTGGTCTTCACTGACATCTAGTGGACACAGACGCCTCACACAACATCAAATCCTGCTCCATACTGTACAAGGCTGTTAATAAGCCTAGCTTTTAATCTTTGATTAAATTAATACTATGGAGGCAAAATAAATAAATAATTGTGTGTGTATATATATATATATATTTTTTTTTTTACAATTATTTATTATATATACACAATATATTTGTGACTGCTTAGAAAGGTACTTGTTCTCTAGCCTAGTACACCAAAAAAAATGTGTGTGTGTACACATATATATATATATAGCTGAATTTTCAGTGTGTCACATGATCCTTTCAGAAATTACTCTAATATTCTGATTTGGTGCTCAATTGTTATCTATTAATATTGGTGCTCAGATAATAATAATGGTTTACATTATTATAAATGCTGCTTAACATTTTTTGTGGAAACAGTGATACATTATTTGATGAAAACAATGTTCACTTAACAGCATTCATTTGAAATAGAACATTTTTGCAACATTATAAATGTCTTTACTATCACTTTTGATCAATATAATGTATCATTGGTGTGTGTGTGTATACAGGTGCATCTCAATAAATTAGAATGTCGTGGAAAAGTTCATTTATTTCACTGACCCAAACTAATTCCACAAAGATATTAAGCAGCAAAAATTTTTTACCACTGATAATAATCAGAAATGTTTCTTGAGCAGTAAATCAGTATATCAGAATGATTTCTGAAAGATCAAGTGACACTGAAGACTGGAGTAATGATGCTGAAAATTCAGCTTTGATCGCAGGAATAAATTAGATTTGACAATATATTACAATAGAAAACAGTTAATTTAAATTGCAATAATTTTTCACAATATGACTGTTCTAAAAGCATTTTTGATCAAATAAATGCAGCCTTGGTGAGCAAAAATATTCAAAAACAACATTTTAAAAAATCATAATGACTATTTTCACCTATGAAAACGTCAAAATAGCAAAAAAAATGATGTAAAATATAATTGAATTAGTATAATAAATATTTAATTTAGTTAATATAACGTCATTTTATTTTGGCTTTGTAGAAAAATGTTTTATATTATTCCCATGTGAGACATTTTCTCCAAATGTTTTCCATGGCACACACAGAACTCGTGTATGACTGTGGATGTCACGCTTCGGTCGCGAGCGGAGCCAAACTTCACGCGCTCAGCTGAACTGATCAAAGCGACTCATTCCGCACTCATTATGCCTCATTTATTCACACTGACGTCTCTTTACATAATGACGCTTTCAACCAAATGTATTGCTTGATATTTATTGTACAACATCAATGCCATTAAACAGGATATTTCTAACACACATTCTCAATAAATACACCTTTTGTAGGATGTTTTACACCAGAGATTTAAAGGGGTCATATGATGCGATTTCTATTGTTCCTTTCTCTTTGGAGTGTTACAAGCTCTTGGTGCATAAAGAAGATCTGTAAAGTTGCAAAGACTAACGTCTCAAATCCAAAGAGATATTCTTTATAAAAGTTAAGAGTCAACCACACCTACCTAAAACGGCTCGTTCTAACACGCCCCACATATCTACATCACGATGTGGGAAGATTTGCATAATGCCGCCCAAATGTTCACGCAAAGAAAGAAGGCGTAACTTTTATTCTCGCTGTAGTATTGTTGACGCTGCAGCCATGTCGTAAAGGCACTGTGTGCTTTTTTGTGAAAGCGAAACTACTTTGTTTGGCCTTCCAAAAGAGGACACGACTAGAAATCAGTGGTTAAGTTGTATTTACAACACTGTTCCAGAACACTTCAACCCAAATATTCAGATATGTGCAGCACATTTTATGGAGGACTGTTTCCTGATCCTGGTAGAGTAACGTTAGACTACAATGCCGGCAGTTCTGACTCACACAAGTACGTTTTCATTTAAAGGATTTGCCACTGATGATTCAAACCCGAGTTTTGGGCAGTGTGGAGTAGCACTTGTTGTTTGCTCACAGCCTGTAAGTACGTTTCCACTGATGATTCAAACGCGAGTTTTGGGCAGTGTAGTGTAGCTCTTGTTGTTTGTCATTTCTCCGATCACAAATGCAGACATGGTTTTATGTTACGCTCCGGCCTGACAGAGCATCATCACAGTATGGTGAGGGGCGTAACATTTCCGTCACACGCTTGAGGTATTCGGCCAATCACAACGCACTGGATAGCTGGCCAATCACAGCACACCTCGCTTTTCAGACCGATGAGCTTTGTAAAAATCGACACGTTTCAGAAAGGCGGGGCATAGAGGAGAAACAATAATGTACAGTATGTGGAAAATAATGTGTAAACACATTTCATTACACCAAATAATGTTCTTTTTAGCAACATCATATGACCCCTTTAACTAGGAACTAAGTTGAAAACCAAACTTGTGACTTTGGGTAAGAATAAAATTACTAATTAAATCAGAAGTACTTTCACTTTCACATAAACTTCGTCCAGAAAGACGTAATTTCTATATTTTGAAACGAGGACATTCAATACACCCTAAAAAAAGACATTTGTTCGGGTTTTTCGATCACGCAGCATCACAAAATGTGAATTTCAGCGCTTAAGCGGCGGCTAATGTCAGCGGGCTAGCATGAAAACATGAGCGTACAGATATAAACAAGCTGACAACTACTGGTGTTAAAAACAAGACGGTCATATTTACATGCTCTGACTGAGTCAGTGTTAGTTGTGAACATTCAACTTACTCAAATAGTGTTGAGGTCAACCACCGAGAAAACTGTCTGCGGGATGATCCTTGCATATATCCGGGCGGAACCAATGCATGCGGGAATGTTTACTGCAGACTTCTGACGATGTGACACGCGAGCTCGCTGGACAGTTTAGTGCAGCGGAACAAAGCTGTCAGCGTGCCATAGTTATGCGACCTAAAATGAAATATGAACATTTTAAATCAAAAGGACACAAGGATTCTAGCGAGATTAAATGACAAATCAGTAGCACGGAGTGGTGCGCCATCTGTTGCAGATCCGCTTCATGCGCCAGCTGTGCTAAAGCAGCCTTCAGCATCAGCACACTCAGAAAGAGTTTGAAAGAAATCTAACTACAAAGATTTTCATTTTTAAGTAAAGTTTAACTTTAGATAATTTTCTGACCTTTATTAAGTCTTAACATGTTATAAAAAAATAATATTAAGTCTCAACATGTTAAAAACATCATCATAATAATTATGTAATATTAATAATAATAACAACAGTCTTATTATTATTATTATTATTACACCCAAAACTGCTACACCCAAACTTTTTCTGTTCAGCACTGTTAACATTTGATCATACACATGTTTCTTCAAAAGAGACCTGTTTCCAGTTTCACATGATGGAGATCTGATGAAGACGGCGTACAGCCTCTTGTTGAAGAGTGATGCTTCGTCGAGGAACAGAATTCATGTAAAGTTCTGTAGTACCTCGAGTTTAGCCACAAAAAAGGGATTTAAAAAAAAACAATTATAAAAAAAGAATTCGGTTTATATACATTTTCTATCATGTTTTTTTCACAACCAATTATTAAAATATAAAAAATAGTTTTATATTAAATGTTTTATTGTTCCAAATCCGTGAACAAATCAGAATCTTTTTTACTCAAAAGTTCCTGGAATAAATCATATTTCCACCTAGGAAAATAACATTACAAATGTCTATATATATATATATATAGACCTTTATTTGACCCTCTAATTCTAACACTTTCTATTCTATTTTAATTCTACTTTATCTATATTTATCTCCTTTTTTTTATTTATTTAAAAACACAAAAACAAACACTAGCTTTCTATTTTTTCTATTCTATCTACTTGTTTTTCTTTGTTTGTGTGTGTGTGTTGTGTATGTGTGTTGTGTATGTGTGTGTGTGTGTGTGTGTCTGTATATGTGTGTGTGTGTGTGTATGTGTGTGTGTGTGTGTATATGTGTGTGTGTGTGTGTGTGTCTGTATGTGTGTGTGTGTGTGT